CACCCATACCCCGCCACCTAGGGGCCTGGTTCCCCTGACTGTAACCGACCAACAAAAGGAAACAAGTGACAGTGTTTTGCGAGCGCAAAATACTTTATTTACCAATTTGCATTTAGTAAAAATAGCAGCTCCCGCCTGGCCTGGGAGGGAGCTTCTTGAATCAAAAGTCGCCGGCAGCCCGCGCAGGGAACGGTCGGGTGGGCAGGCCAGACCGAGGGCGCCAGGGAGGTCTCGGGTCCCAGGGCCCCCATTGCCCCGGGTGCCACGCCCCACCTCTCTCCAAGTGACCAGAACCAACGCATCCGGGCGCGCCCTGGGTGATGCACGGCAAAACACTCCGCGCCCTTCCTCCAGGACCCAGTGAGCCGCGAGGGAAACCGAGGCCCGCGCTAACTCATTTACGCCCTTTCTGCACTTAGATTCACAACACCCAACTATGTCCCCAGCAGAACCTACAGAAATTTCCTAATGATTCTTATAAATATTTAATGTTTTTCTGCGGTCTCTTCAGACTTGACAAGAACGTGGATAATTCTAAGAACAGTCGATGAAGCCTTAAAGCTTTGAGTCCAGGGGGCGGGGCCTCCCTCTGTGGGTTCAGCCCCCCCCACCCACTGAAGATCCCGGTGTGGGAAAAGCGGAGGCAGCAGCCTCAGAGTCAGGGCGCGTGTCAACTCTGCGCCCTGAGGACCAGTCATGAGGAAGTACATCGACTATTTTACAAAGGGCATGGCAGTCCAGAAGTTTCTCTGGGGACGAGTCTAACCAGGCTACTCACATACTAAGAAAACCCGAATGGAATTCGTCACAGCCAGTTTTTAGCACTGGTGGGTTAGGAGGGCGGGTCCCACGTGGAACACGGCCCGGCCCGGGGAGTGGAGAGCAGAGCCTCCCTCCCGGACAGAGAAGGAAGCGAAGCTGGGAACATCTTTGCCGCCAGACTCAAATGCACTTGGGCGACCAGGGCCTCCCCGGAAAACTCAGCTGAGTCCACGTTTCCTTGAAGCCCGTGATGCGGTGCCAGGCCCCAGGGCGCCCTCCCGGGCCCAGGGGGGCCCGACGCAGCAGTAAAGCACGGTTAGGTTTTCCGAGACACCCCAGTTACCGAAGGGCTGAGTTTTTTCGCGCAGCAAAGATGGCTCCGGCCTCCCTCGGCGCACCGCTCCCGAACGACTAAGAGCGTTTTACCCTCGGGTCACCGTCGGCTAGAGACGGAGCCAAAGCTCCCCTCGCTTCCCCCAGCACGGCAGAGGGGCCGCGGACCCAGCCCCGGCGACGCCGCGGAGACGGGCCGTGAAGGAGTCCGAGCACGACCGTGCGGAGTCACTGGCGTCCCCATCCGGGCGGGAACAGAAGGGAGGTGCGGGCCATCGATCCGTCCGAGTTCACGGTGGAGCAGAATTTGAGGGTTCCAGATGCCACTGCAGGACGGGGACCCTTCTAGCTCAACGCCGGGTACTTCCTCTGGCCGATCCTCCCCATCCTGGAGCCCCCCGAGGCGGCAGAGGCCTGGAAAGACAAGGAAGAGTGCGGACTTCCACCCGCCAGCCTCCGAGGCCGGGGGCGCCCCGGCAGCGCCGGGGAGACGGGTCTGCGGAACCATCTCCACCGACAGAACAGGCAGGCTGCGGGTTCTCCGGAAGCCCCGACGACCGGCCAAGTGGGGACCAGGCCTAGACGTCCGCTTTGAAGGGGTCCGCACTTTCGTCAGGTGGTGAGAAGGGAGGCTGGCCCCCACGGCAAGAGCACCCGGGGAGGGTGGCGGCCCAGCCCGCGACTGCAGCGTTGCGGGCAGCGCCCAGGGACAGACAGCGGACGGAGCGCAGGCATTTACTCGCGCTGAAGCGAGCCATCGAAAAACTCTTGTAAAGCGCACGCTACGAGACGGAGGTAACGAGAGGAAACCGCCACCAGATCTTGAAACGGAAAAGCAGACGCACGGCCAGGGGGTAACCTGGGACACGGGAGTCCTGGAGGTCAGGGCAGGAGGCCGAGAGGCGGCCTCGTCTGCGGGCACGTCGAGGCAGAGAGCGGCAGGCTGGCCGAGCGCCCGGCTGACAGTGAGCAGGCCCGGCCACCCCAGGCGGTGAGGGCGACCAGGGTCGTGGGAGGCTTTATACTCTGAATGTCGAGACACGGCCCCGGCCCCTCCCTGCTCAGCTCCCCCCGAGCTGGCAGCCGGTCTGCACCCTACGGGCAAGAGACTGGAAAAGGAGGAGCGAGAAGGCAGAGAGACAGAAACAGGAAGAAACATTCCAGAGCATTCCCCAACCGCGGGCCGTGGGCTGCCAGGTGAAGGGCGGCCAAGGCCGGCCTGGCGGAGGGAGTCAGACCCACGGTGAGGTGTGGCGGCGGGAGACCCGGCGGGAGACCGCGGGCCCCAGCACGGTGGGGGCGTTCACGCCAGGAGCAGCGGCAGGGAGAGAAGGGTGGGCGGACACAGCGGGGCGCCGGGCTGGGGATCCCTGTGCCCCAGGAGACAGCAGGGCACTTACCTGTGCAAAGTGAGCAGGGCTGTAGAAGGGCACGGCTGCCCCGGAGGCGCCCCCTGCTGCGGGGTGGTCACCGGGAGCCTGAGAAGCACAGAGAGTTCATCTCAACGCGGCAACGTCACACAGCGGTGTGCGCTCCCTTGTGGACAGACGCCACTGCTGGGCGACCACTCACAGTACTTCTAAGGAAGCCACAGAAGCAAGTCGGAGACGCTTGTCGTGACACCGGATTGCGTTACTGAGTGGTTCACAGAACACACGTAAAAATTAGAGCGGCATGCAGCGCGAGATGCTTCCGAGGCAGAACATGCGGCAGCGGGGAGTGCCCGGCCCCGGGGGGCCCCCGGGAGTGGCACCTTGAAGCAGTTAGTAGAGGTTTCTGACCACCTCAGACCTCCGGTGTCCAGCTACAGAATCCAGTGTTTTAATAAGCAAATAAAGTCACACGAAGCCTTCGTCGAGGCAACGGGAAAGCTCCGTCGTGCGACCCACACACGAGATTAAGTATTCCCGTGTCCCAGCCCGCCCGGCCGAGGACAGCCTCGCTGCCTCACTCTGCCCGGCCGCCCAGAAACGTCCCGCGCTCGATCAGAAACCAGAAATTCTCCAGACCCAGGCGGGCTTCTGAGACACCCTCACACGCGGGGAGGCTACACCTGCGGCCGGCCGTTTGGAAAAACCGATCCAGAAAGAACGAAATCACAAAAGTCATCCGTCCCCTAGGAACGTTTTGGGGTCGGCTCGGTCGCCAGTGTAAGCGGATGGCCCGAGACCGCCCCCGAGGACACCGGAAGGAAGGAACACTGCATCCTGTGGCGCGCGGCGGGCGGGGAGGCGGCGGGCTGCGTTAGTGACGGGGGCACGACGCAGGCCGGCACGGCGCTCTTAAGGGAACCACAGAGGCGACCCGGTTCAACTCGTGTTCAGTGAGAACTGCCAGCCACAGGTACCTGATAAAAATGCTGGCTTACTTCACGCGATAATGAACTCAGTGAACTACAGCGTGAAAGCTGCGAAACAGCAAGAACACACACAACACAGACAGATGAGAAATCGACATGCGTCTGCTCCACGCGGCCAGTTCCACCCCACAGAGCCTTGTGATGCAGTGAGAATCAACACGGGCCAAGTGGGCAAAACACCAGAGTTAGTTTAAAACTCCTGCTGTGAGGGACAGTTGGGTTTTTTTTAATTAAAAAAACGTTTACGTTTATTTGCTGGTTTTGAGAGAGAGAGAGAGAGAGAGAGAGCGCGCAGGGAGGGGCGGAGGCAGATGAAGAGAGAATCTCAAGCAGGCTCTGTCAGCGCAGGGCCCGACACGGGGCTGGGACTCCCGAACCGCGAGATCGTGACCTGAACCGAAATCAAGAGTCGGCCGTTTAACCGACTGAGCCATCCAGGCGCCCCTAACGTACAGCTTTTATTAAGACGGGGGCACCTGGGCGGCTCGGCCGGCTGAGCGTCCGACTTCGGCTCGGGTCGTGATCTCACAGCTCGTGGGTTCGAGCCCCGCGTCGGGCTCTGTGCCGACGGCTCGGAGTCTGGAGCCCACTTCGGATTGTTTCCCTCTCTGCCCCCCGTCTGCACACTCTCTCTCCCTCAAAAATAAATAAGAAACATTAAAAACATGTTTTGAAGGAAAAGCATCAGTTGGGGGGCGAGGGGGCCTGCCCTCATGCTGCCAGAGAAGCGTGAGCGCGGCGCTGCTGTGCCGAGTGAGGGGAGCCCGGGGTGTGTGAGCTCACACCCTGCTCTGCACGCGGCTCCCACACAACCTGCAGACATAAGGGTCGCTGCTTGTGCTGTGGAACCACAACACTTTTAAAGTTCCAGAGAGCTGCTAAATTGCCTCTTCCTACTCGTCAACATTCTCATTTAAAGAAGAAGCCACTTGGACGGTACAAATGGGCGATGTCCCCAGCCCAGTGTCTGGGCAGATATGTCCTGTGCCAACGGCTTACCTCTCCTCCCTTGGAACCGTCCTCGTGGGCGGGTAGGAGCTCAGGGCCAGGGAGCGACGCTGGCAAACCTAACACCTGTCAGGAAAGAAGAAACGCAGTGGCCATCACTCCCGTGAAGCCCTCACATGGGGCAGACCGACGCGACACCCCCCTCTGGCCCCGGCCCACGCAGCTCCACTCCGAGTAAGCGCCCCTCCGAACGGCTGCGGGTCCCACGACAGCCTATCTCTGGGGAACTCGGGCCGTGGGCCCCTTGATGGCCTCGTGTGCAAGCGCCCTCGTTATTCCGTTTCACAGAACAGGAAACAGAGGCTTTGAGATGTCACGTGATCCTTTAAACGTTAAGTAGCTGGGGCGCCCGGGTGGCTCAGTCGGTGAAGCGTCCGACTTCAGCTTAGGTCACGATCTTGCGGTTTGTGGGTTCCAGACCCGCATCGGGCTCCGTGCTGACAGCTCAGAGCCTGGAGCCTCTTTGGATTCTGTGTCTCCCTCTCTCTATCCCTCCCTTGCTCACACTCTGTCTCTCAAAACTGAACAAACGTTAGAAAAAAAACCTGTTTTTTCAATTTCTCTTTTAAAAATAAATGTTA